GTTACTAATACCACACATATGGTATCATAGTTGTCCATCGTTTTGATTATTTCCGTTAATTGTTATTATTCTATAATCACAGATGCTTCATTAAACATAATTTCAGTAAATAAATTCTTTTATGGTTTTGATAATTGATATAGAACGTTAATTCTAAATTTAATCTCAATTTGAGTAATACTACGTAGTACATATATTGTCTTCCATCGTTTTGATAATATCAGTTCACTGATATTATTTAATATTATTTAATATTTATTAATCACAGGTACTTCTTTTAGTTCTTCAATCTCAATTTCAGTTAAGTGATACTACGTACTAATCTTTAATTACAGGTGCTTCTTTTATCTTAACTTTCTTTTAATATGAAATTTGTTAATATTATCGCAATTATCTGGTATTAAATTATCTTAAAATTTTCTAAAATTGATATTATTATTATTATTATTTTGTTAATATATTATTCGCTTGTTGATTTTCCATTATTTTTAATTGTAGTAAAAAAACTATATATGATGGAAAATCAACAAGCGAATAATATATTAACAAAATAATAATAATAATATCAATTTTAGATGTATATATGAATAATGTGATCAGCCTTGCTGCCTGAAAGCTTTCAACTCTGATCGCATAAAGGCATAGATTTTATTAAGATAAGAGCTATAACTCATCGATACTCGCTAGAGCCGAAGGCGGAGCTAGACCCTTCGGAGAGAGACTCAACCGCTAAAGCTAGCAAATTGATTCAGTAACCGGTGCCGCTCTTCTCTCTTTCTTTTCCCACTACGCGCTAAGAAGGAAGGTGGGGATCTTAGTCTCAATCATAGCTTTTAGAAGCTAAGCAAGTCAGGCTTTTTTCGAAAAAAAGAAGATTGCTTCGACTTCAAACATGACATGTAATGTCATGCTTAACACAGAAGAATCCAATGTTAGAAAAAGTGAACGAAGGACCAAGGAGGATTCATGAGCAGAAGGAGGAGGAGTAGGAGCGTAAGCCACTCGACAGGAGAGGAGCGATGACAGACAGAATCGAAGCGAAAAAATTAGTTCATGCCACGACGATCTATATGGAAGGGAAGTTTTGTTGATGCATTCCTCTTGAGAATGAAAAAGAAGAGAGATCTTATTTTGAACAGGAAAATTTGGTCACGTAGATCTTCTATTTCGCCGGAATTCGTTGATTGCTCCGTACGAATTTACAATGGAAAAACTCCTGTTCGTTGTAAGATTACTGAAGGAAAGGTTGGTCATAAATTTGGAGAGTTTGCTTTTACACGAAAACGAAGACCTTCGAGAACAAATATTGGACGGGGAAGAAAAAAGGGGAAAAAGTGAAGTCTAAGCGCATATGGCACGCAAAGGAAATCCGATTTCGGTAAGACGTGATCTGAATCGTAGTTCAGATTCAAGTTGGTTTAGTGAGGGCGACCGCGAAAGTAACCGAATGGCTCAGTCTTTTAGTTGTCCCAGATTAGAATCTAAAAGGAGGACGTTGCAGATGCCCGGGGCGGACACGACTTCTTCTAAGGCTAGAAGACCACTGGAAGACACCCAGGACTATAGCATGTCGTGAAAGAAGCACACTGGGCGGGCGTGCTTCGACCGTGTCTCCGGGGCACAGTTGAATGTCAATATCATGAACACGAGGTGCAGGATACCAGGCCGAGAAACCCGGGCAACCACTCCCCTATGTGCCAATCGCTAGCACATCCAGGGCCCCGGCGCCCAGCTCAGCTGGAGAGGCCTAGCCTGATCTGAGAAGTGCTAATTCGGTTCGGATAGACTTCATTAAAGAATGCCACCGCCCCTGGGAAAACAAGTGCTCAGTTTCAGATCAGTGAATAAACCGAAACGAAAGAAGAGACGTTTCTCGCTCGGCGCCTAAAGCGCACTATGCTCCGCTTCAACAAATGAGAGTTTTCGGTGGAACCGGTGAACCACGCGAGCTGGTTAGATGCGTGGGACAGAGGGCTCGTAGTACCTGCTAGCGCGGCTACGCAGTGGAAGGGAAGGAGCCTAAATCGACCCCTCCTCTTTTTTTTAAAAAGCAGTAAGGAGATTTTACTCTCGGATGATACTAAGCAGCTACCGATCGTTCCGACGCGCCCTTGACCTATTTTGATTCAGACCAAAAACAAACCTATCTATAAAGTGGAGCCTAGTTTCAGCCAAGTGATGATTTCATGAAAGAAAAACCACTAGTAGGGATATGGATGGAGTCTCGCTCAGTCAAGAGAGTTGTAGGATTCGTAATTGAGAAGCGGTTAAGAGCCTTTACTTTCAAATGACAACTGCTTATTCGTAATCAAGAGAATACACACACACACACATACTCCGTATATATTACGCCTCAGGACTACGCCTAATTGCGCAATGAGGCTTACACAATACGCAATAATAATAAAAACGCCATCATTACGCAATACGCAATTTTGAACCTTGATTAGAAGTACTATAGCTATGACTTGACAATTGCAAAACTCACTGATGTTTTTAATGAACCCAGGAATGATAGAAGTTACAAAAGGTGCAATTTCCTTTTCAGAATTCTAATGGACAACTATTTTTCTTTTATAATCAACACAAACAAATACCTGTCCCCTTATTGATTGATCAAAGACACTTATATATTCACTGGAGCATTAAAGTTTGCGTATTTGCGTAGACCCTTCATTACTGTTGCATTAGAAATCAAATAAGTTAGATAAGTTGCATGAATTTCCTTTAACGAGTACATTGTAGTACTCGACTCTTTTTCAGTTTTTAAAAGTTCACTCTAAACTTGATGTTAAGAAGAGATCCATTTCATGATCTAAATATATTATCTTGAAACCTTTTTTTAATCCAAATTGATTTCTATAATAAAAAAATGCAGTTAATATGGTGCCAATATATATCGGAGACCGTTTTAAGCTGTCATGCTATACTCAAATGTTTCAAATGCAATAACAAGAGTTCAAAATGTGGGGGATGTGGAATGTACTAAAATATTGGACTTGTTTTTATATCAATAGTAATATAAACTAAAATATGTCTATTTGAATTAAATGATGAAACTTTATTTCATGCCCTATTGCGTGCATCCATTGATTGATGTCATGTAAATTTGTTCAATATTGTGGAATGTGGTAAGAGTTCAACCATATCCGAAGTAGTTCATTACTACACTATGATAGTGCAGCAGCGCTTCATTCAATGTGATCTGATTTTTTGTTTTCTTTTACTAGAGAAATAATGACAAATATATGACTGAAACGAAGGTGATAGACAAAAACATGACTTAGTGATTATTATAGTAACTTTAGTGAACATGTTCAACTCTACACCATAGTGATTAGTGACTATGCATAGTATTTATAGTAATATTTTTGTCCATAAGTTATATTTTAGTAGCATTCAAGGAAAAAAATCTTTACTTAAAGATTGGAACCAAATGTCGTCGTTTTAAATTGTTATTTTTTTAAAACCCCAAAGTTCAAACTATAATGCACAGAAATGTGGAAAGGGTAGCATTTCCTTGTACCTGAAACGTACTAACATTTCCGAACGTGAGAAACGCCCAAAACGCGTGTCGGTCCTGTTTGTAAATGTTTGAAAGTTTGGAAACCAGTTTCCCCCCAAAACAGAGTTTCACCAAAAATAAAAAGTATAAAATTTAGGAATCCGTGGATTATTTGTGATCTTCATCTTCAGACGTTGGCCGTCTTCAGCGAACATCCTCTCACATCTGCGCTCTTCGTCTTCAGCGACTTAAGGAAAGTTCTGACCCTTTCTCCTTCTTCTGTTATGCCGACTGTGTTCGCTGCCATCTCAAGGTGGCCAACTCTGATTTGTACTTGGTGCATCGTTTGGTTTCTCAATAGTAGGGTTCTTTCGTGAATTGATCAGTGAGATTTGGGGATTTGAATAAATGTACTGAGTAGTGTCGACTGTTGTGGACTTGTCCTAGTTGGTGAACTTAATGATAATGTCCAGCTGTCCACTAAATATTTAAGGAGCATTTAATTTATTAAACATTTTCATTCATTAAAAAGGGAATATAGGAATAGGGGAGTAGTGGAGTACTATACACACCAAAATTACATATTCCTTAATATCTAAGATGTAAGTTGATATTTGTATGTGCTAAATGTGTGTGTATATATGTATGTTAATTTATTTATTCATTTATTTCTTTATTTGTTTGTTTTTAAAAAATCCCTCTTTTCTATATTTACGCGTTTCCACATGTTTCATATCCCGTATATCTTGTATATTTAGTAAATGTCATTTCTGGCGTCCTGTTTCCCGTTCCCATGCTACTTGGGATCAAAATGATCCTACGTTGGTTTTGATTGAGTTTCAAATAATAGTTCATACTTCTTTTAGAATGCTACAACGCATTTCTGTGAAAACTTATATGCATCTTCGTATGGGCACTCATAAGAACGGATAATTATAAACCTGGTCAAAGCGAGGGTAGAAATTTATCAATCCAGTAAAATGATTTTCTAGGACCAGAAGCGGGGGAGCCTCTGCCACCCCCCTCCTAGGTCCTCTGAGAAAATTTAGAATGGCAACGTGTTGTTTTACCTGAACTATACAAACTTTGAGATGAGGTTACTTGGAGTTTAACAACTAACTGGTTAGCTATCTTAAAACTGTTGCGTTAAGGTAACCTTTGACTTGAATGGGGAAGAACAAATCTCTACCTCGTTGAACCTTATTATATAAGCAAAAACATTAAACGTAGCATTTACACTTTATCATCCTGTTATGGAGAATTTGGTAAGATGTCCAGCAATATATTATCAAAGAGTATTTAAAAGAGTATTTACATATGTTCAATTTGAATGTTTCATGTTTTTAACTGAATCCATCGTCCTCAGCAATCACAAATCCTCGGAAGATGTGTGACATTCTTTTTTCGTCTTATCGCTTAACAATGCCACTATCCACTGTTTTGTAGGACACTAATGCACAACAATCTTAATACTGCTATTATTTCCCTTTTATTTGGGTGATTTGTGATAATATTTTATAGCTATCACTTTTGTTTTGTGCCACCAGAAACCCAGTTGTGGGATCGCCTTCCCAGTAAAAATGACAGACACTCCGCCTGAGAAGAAGCAGAAGTACGGGGATGTCCTCACTACAAGGGATAACAGAGAAGGTATTGAGATCCTACAGCAGAAGTTGGAGGAGTGGGGTCATTTGAGATATTATTTTCAATCTTTTAACAAGGATAAGTTGTATAAGCCTCAGTATCATTATCATATAGCATCAAAATTTGATGAAACATGCTCATTGAATTCAAGCTTCAGTTTCTCAATGGATCCAGTGATAATTGGAGGGGTGAAACCTTGTTCCTATTCTGAGTTGGAAAGCATAACTGATTTCAAGGTGCCCGATAGCTTTGTTTCGAGGGCATGTGTCGGACGATTGTTCAGAGGAACCATTAACAAGGGATTTGAGAAACGACAAGTGATTGTAAAAACGTGGGATTTTCCCTTTCCTAGTGGAATTCATTTTCATGACATGCCAGCTAGGTTTTGTGTACGTCTGCGCAAGATATATGGATCTTTACTATTGGTTTTCTTTTCCAATGTTATTGTAATCAATGATGTCATCAAAGTTTCATTATTGTAGGACCTGATTGAGCTTTACACAGACAATGAAGTAAGCAAACATCCATATTTGGCGAAGTTATATACGTACTGCTACGAAAAAAGGCTGGCAGCTGTCTTTGATCAGAAATTTACAGCTGTCTTGTCTGACATGCTTCTCGATGGTATTTAAACTCCTTTCTCAGTCTAGTATGTTTGATGGATTGGAATCCTCTGCTGTATGGCAGAGCGCCTTGCATGGCAGTGGAATGGCAAGGAAGACGCCCAAAAATACGTGAAAAAGTGGACTCTACCTTGCTGCTAAAGCAAGGCAGAGATGCTGGATCCATGGTTGATGGGTGTATTTGGGAGCATGTCTTGTGCTTTTAGCACATTGCTGGAATCATTCTGATGGCGTTTTTTGTTGAATTGCCTCCTTTGTTTTTCAGATGGCTTTGGGTGGCATAGTCGGATTAAGGTGGCAACTCAGCTTGCAGATCTCTTGGCATGGTTGCATGATAAGAGGATTGCAGTTGGCTCAGTTGAAGGTTCATGTATTATGATAGATGAGGTCTGGTGTCGATATCTTATTTTGGTTTGTTTCCAACCCACAACAGTCTGAAGTGAACAAAAAAATGAATTTGCTGCTTTTTTTTGCATGCAGAAAATGAATATAAAGGTGCTTGGATTTGGCTGTGTTTCTCGTCATATAGATGAAGATTCTAAACTTCCCGCGAGTAAAGTTTTTTATAGAGAGGCTTTTGAAGTTCGTTGTGGAGGTGCACCAATCTCTCTTTCACTCATTTCCAGTATAAAAAAGATCTCTTTTAGCTTTCATCCAATATAACTGACTGATGTTTTGTTGAAATTTAGGATTGAAGTAGTAGAAAAACAACTGTATTTGGTCTTTAAATGGTTCAGATGTGTATAGGACATTAGTTCATCACCATGATCTTAATATTATGTTTATTGACAATCAACATGACAATTCAGGTGTGAGGATGATGAAATCTGATGTTTATGTATTCGGGATTCTACTAGTGGAGCTGATAGCAAAAAAGAAGTACGGCTTCGAGATGACGCTATATGATCTAGAATGCGACGTGGAGGATATGGAATTAAATGGCAAAAAAGGATTGGTTCACGAGTCATTCAAAGAGGTCGATAGTAAAACTGCAAGGGTGATCACGGACCTCACAAAGACGTGCTTGAATAAGGAACCAACGAAGAGGCCGAAGATGGAAGCTGTTTCTCGCTGTTTGGAGGGATTGTGCAACCGTAGTCTTTAAAGAATGTGTCTGTATCTATCTTCGTGTTTCTTCATTTCCACTGTTTTTACTTTTTAACGCATCTTCTCTTTGCAATTGAAATAATGTCTGCATGACTGCATGACTGCATCTATCTTCTCTTTGAGAGCATTGGACACCCGTATTGAAGTAATGTATGCATCTATCTTCTAGTTCCGGTGTTTTTGAGTACCTGAATAGTTTCACCTTGCATCAAATACAGAGATAAGTTGTAGGCTTTTAATGGGAGGGAGGAAAGTGTTCCTCTTTTGCCCGGGCCCATTACATATTTACACTAAATAAAAATTGTCCCATATAGGACTAAAAAGTTCTTAAAATTCCTAAATAGGATCTACTATGTTTATTTCCCTTAATAGGACCATATTAATCCTATGTTGAATCATACTGATTACACTGGTACGAAATTGCCCTTGCTTATTTTCTACCGGTCTCTACGGACTACACCAGGGATGGATTCGGGCCGGCCCGGTCGGGTCGCCGGTTCGTATCAGATGGGTCCGGGACCGGCCCGAGGGTTGGACGGGTCCGGTTTGGGCCGGGCCACCCGCATGGGTCACGGGTCGGGCCACCCGCTGGGCCGGGCCGGGCCGGTTATTTTTTTTTTTAATTTATATTTTATACTTTATAGTTTTATACAAGTATTAAAAAACAAACTTCAAGTGCATTTATTTGAAATGAAATAGGAACTACATTTGAAAATTAAATAGGAACTATAATTGTTTTTAATTGGAATCTCCGGCATAGGTAGAGTCACCCTCTGTAGATTCATCCATAAAGTGTTGGGATGAAGTGATGTCAATTTCTTGAGCTCTACGTGCTGCTTTCAACCAATCGTGGTAGCATATAAGCATCTCAAGAGATTTAGCGCTCAACCTCGTTCTGGTTTGTGTTAGAACATTGCCTGCCGAACTAAATTCTTATTCCACGGCAACCGTTGAAACCGACATTGATAACACTTGCTTAGCCATCTTTGCTAAAACCGGGAACATTCTTTCTTTTCCCTTCCATCAGTTTAGTACGTCAAAATCATCATCTTCTTCAAAATCAACATCATAAGTTAAATACAAAGAAATCTCATTAATTGTGCTTTGTTGTGTAGCGGGAGTTGATTTTGTTTTTTAATAAGATTGGCAAACGTAGATTTGAAAATTGATTTTCCTTTAGATGATTGTGTCGGAGGAGGGGGCGCATTGCCATATTGTGCATGAAACTCATTGAATAATGCATAAAATATATCACTAACCTCGTTGTATTCTTTTTTCGAATCAATTGGGTTGTCCTCATACATTGGCAATGGACCAAAAAAAGCAGCATAATAATAATTCAAACATTCTTCTAAAGAACCAAGTCTAAAACGAGGATCGAGAACAAATGCAATACCATAAATATGCGGAATATGTGAATAATATTTTAAAAACTTTCCCTTCATAAAACCAGCAAAATAACTCACATAATCAGCATTCTCAAAATTTGAAAAAGCACCGGCGAGATTAACAGCTTCACGAATAAATTGGTTTGAGGTAGGTTTATAAACATAACTAAAAGTTTCAGTTGCATTATTAAAATATATCAAAGCATTACAAATTTTTTCACAGGTGTCGATCTCAGCCGAGTTTATAATATAGTTATCATATTGTTTCATAAAAGCAGGAAAATGTTGTTTATATCTAAGAACTCCAATTAACTTATAGGTACTATTCCAACGAATAGACAAATCTTTTGGAAAAGCCACATATCTCTCACCTCTTTCTATCAAATAATCATGCCATTTTTTCCTAAGGTGTCCATTACCCCAAATACGTCTAATCCCCCCCTTGACTACCTCCAACGATGCTCCCAACGCTTTTAGACCATCTTTCACACATAAATTTAGAACATGACATGCACATCGTTGATGAAAAAATCTACCCATCAAAGAAGTAGAACCACACAATTCACGCAATCTAGGAATAGCAGCAGTATTATTAGTAGCATTATCAAAATCAATAGCAAACACCTTATCAATTAAATTATACTCAATTAAAATACGTTCAATCAAAATATAAATATGTTCAGCGGTGTGACGATCATTAAATTCACGGAAAGCAAGAACACGTTTATGCATATGCCAATCATTATCAATATAATGTACAGTCAGACCCAAAAAATGTAAATTATGATACGTATCCTCCCATATGTCAGAACATACAGTAACACGTCCATCAAAGTTTGCAAAATAATTTTGTAACCTTACCTTTTCCGCACCATAAAGCCTTGAAATTTCTTTCTTAACCGTTTTGCGACTATAACCTCTATATTGCGGATTTAAACAAGTTTGTGCATAATCACGAAAAGCAAGACTTTCAGAAAACAAATAAGGCAAATTTTCTTCAACAAGTAAGTTAGCCATACCTGTCAAATTTTGTGCATCATTGTATGAGAAATTACCAAAAGCTTGTTGGTTATTTGCAAACCTCGATATTTGCGTTTGTTTCCCCGTTCCGCCGCCTAATTTTGCATACTCCACCGGGTGTTTGGACTTAAGGTGTCTTGTGGCGGATCCGTATCCGCCGGAAATCCCCAAGCTATAGTTTTTCTTGCACCAATTGCAAGTTGCGGTCCAATTCCCGGTGTTCGGGTCCTTCCACTTAGAAAAATTATTAGCCATTAATTCAGATTTACTTTTTTTTGTACCTGTTTAGGATGAGGCTGCTTGGTTGGCGTCATGGCTGCCGCCACCCTCCTCCTCCTCGTCGTCGTGGCTCTCCGGAATTGCTTCCTCCACATCGTCGTCCTCGTCCTCGAGCTCTTCTTCGTCAATGGTCCTCGGTTGGTCTTGAAAAAAGCGGGAATTATGTCGGTGCAATTCTTGTTCTAGTTGTTCGTCGGTCATCGCATCCCCATCCCTCCTTACGTAACCCGTATCAAAATCATCTTGACTTTGAGATGAAGAGCCGATATGTGATTTACCTTTGCGGGATCTCTTCCTCGCAAGCTCGTTCGTTCGGTTGCGCTCGAGGTTACCCATATAATCCGAATATCTAAGACGATCCATCTAAAAAATGTAGCGATTAATAAAAAATTGTAGCAAATTAAGTAGTGAATTAACTAGTTTTGTGTACAACATATTTTTTAAACTAGAGTCAAATGTAGCAATTAATAAAAAATTGTAAAAAACTAATTAACTATTTATCTAACTATTAATTCGAGTTATAGCAAATTAAGTAGTGAATTAACTAGTTTTGTGTACAACATAATTTTTAAACTAGAGTCAAATGTAGCAATTAATAAAAAATTGTAAAAAACTAATTAACTATTTATCTAACTATTAATTCGAGTTATAGCAAATTAAGTAGTGAATTAACTAGTTTTGTGTACAACATATTTTTTAAACTAGAGTCAAATGTAGCAATTAATAAAAAATTGTAAAAAACTAATTAACTATTTATCTAACTATTAATTCGAGTTATAGCAAATTAAGTAGTGAATTAACTAGTTTTGTGTACAACATTTTTTTAAACTAGAGTCAAATGTAGCAATTAATAAAAAATTGTATAAAACTAATTAACTATTTATCTAACTATTAATCCGAGTTATAGCAAATTAAGTAGTGAATTAACTAGTTTTGTGTACAACATATTTTTTAAACTAGAGTCAAATGTAGCAATTAATAAAAAATTGTAAAAAACTAATTAAATGTTTATCTAAGTATTAATTCGAGTTATAGCAAATTAAGTAGTGAATTAACTAGTTTTGTGTACAACATTTTTTTTTAAACTAGAGTCAAATGTAGCAATTAATAAAAAATTGTAAAAAACTAATTAACTATTTATCTAACTATTAATTCGAGTTATAGCAAATTAAGTAGTGAATTAACTAGTTTTGTGTACAACATTTTTTTTTAAACTAGAGTCAAATGTAGCAATTAATAAAAAATTGTAAAAAACTAATTAACTATTTATCTAACTATTAAACAAGAGTCAAATGTAGCAAATTAACTAGTAATTAAACAAGTGTAAATAATAGAATAATTTCGTACCTCTTTCGGACTTTCGGTCTTTCGGATGGGAGTAATAGAATGACTTCAAATTAATTAGATATAATTCCAACTATATTAATAGATATAATAAATATATAAGTAATATATAATTAGATAATAAATATAACTTATATAAGTAATATAATACTATTTATATCTATAATCTATTTATAGTTTATGTAAGTAGATAATTAATATAAGCTATAAATAATAAATATCATATATTGGAGAATGGAGAATAAGAGAATTAGAGAGTAGAGAGTTAAGAATAGGATTTAGGAAGAATTGGAGAAGAGATATGAAAAAATGTTTAAGATTAGGAGTATTTATAGGTTTTTTTACCCCCCACCCCCCACCCCCCACCAGCCAACCCCCCGGACCCCCCCTTTACCCCACCCAACGGCTATATAGCCGTTTGGGTTGTCCCCAGCCCCACCCCCAACGGCTAGTAGCCCAACCAACACTTTTTTTTTTAAAAGAGACCCGGACCCGGGCCCGGGCCCGACCCGGCCGGGCCGGGTCACAATAATCCGGAACCGAGCCCGCCCCGCCCCTTCCCATCGGTTCGGGTCCATACCCGGTCCCGGACCGCCCGTCCGGGCCGGTCCCGGGCCCGCACAGTACCGGGCCGGGCCGGGCCGGGTCACGGCCGGGTGGCCCGAACCGAATCCATCCCTAGACTACACATAATTGTTTTCCCCCGTTTAGCGCTTCTGCATTTTGGGTCTTCAGTTACGATCATCTCTTTACTCTCTCCTGTTTTTTGCTGCTGATTATTATCTCCCTCTGTATGTGCGTTTCAACGATAATCTCATATCCTCATATCTCATCTTTTCCCCTGTCTGTAGGGCTGAGCATCGGGCGGGTTCGGGTCGGGCGGGTGGGTGAACCCAATACCCTTTCGGGTTTTGGATGTGTAATATGGATATCCTACCCCATGTTTTTTTACTTGGATATTTTCGGGTTTTATTGTATTTCGGGTAGGGTGGGTTCGGATCGGGTATCGGGTTTAGTCGATTTCAAGTTTCAACTAAAATAATTTGAAATTGCAAAATAATTTGTAATTTCAACACCTGTAAATCTAAAATATTACAATTGCAATTTGCAAAACATAATTTGATTCCCATACATAATGTGAATATTACAAAGTAAAGAGTAGGGGGAATCAAAATTGTAACAAAGAGTTTTAGCATGTTAAAAATACAGAATTACAAATTACTGAATTACACAATTTATTAATCATTAACATCCAAAGTTCCAACTAGTCAAGTACGCAAAATGCAAAAATGCTTGAAGACTTTGAAATTCCACAACTATCTTCCACACTTTGAAGTT